AGTAATATTGTGAAATATTATGAGAATTTAAAATGATTGTTTTCTATTTTAATATATTTTAAAATGTAATTTGAAAGCTGAATTTTCAACATCATTACTGTTGCTGATTACACATCAGTTTTCAGTGTCACACGATCCTTCAGAAATCATTCTAATATGCTGATTTTATGCTCAAAAAACATAAATGATCATTTTCAATGTTGAAAACAGTCGTGTACGATCCCCCCCCCCCCAAAAAAAAAAAAAATTCTATGATGAATAGGAAGTTCAAAAGAACAGCATTTATTTAAAATATAATCTTTTCTAACATTATAAATGTCTTTACTGTAACTTTTGATCAATTTAACTCATCCTTGATGAATAAAAGTATTTTCTAATTTCTTTCCCCCAAAAATAAAAAATAAATTCTTACTGACCCCAAACTTTTGAATGGTAGTGATTAATGTTACAAAATCTTTCCATTTCAGATCAATTGTGTTCTTTTGAACTTTCTATTCATCAAAGAATCCTGAAATAAAAATGTAAAAAACTGTTTTCAACATGGATAATAATCATAAATGTTTCTTGAGCATCCTATTATAATAATTTCTGTAGAATCATGTGACATTGAAGACTGGAGTAATGATGCTGTAAATTCAGCTTTGATCACAGGAATAAATTACACTTTTTTATCAAATAAAGCAGCCTTGGTGAGCAGAAGAGACTTCTTTTAAAATCATAAAAAATCTTACCGATCTAAAACTTTTGACTTTATATATATATATATATATATATAATTGTTGACAAATGGCCAAGAAAAAGTACTTTTTTTTAGGAAAACATAACTTTTTAAGAAAAAATACACATATTTATGGAGTACGAAAACTGCATTTTCAGAAAATAGTAGTGGTAACTCATTTTGTCACATATTATTTTCACGTTTTCACTCAATGATACTGTAAATATGTCCTGTGGTGTGACATTTAAAAAGTCCTGAAAAATTATATTAAATAACATTAAAGAAATAATTGAGAGAATTGTTCACATTATTAAAACATTTTTTTATTAAAATGATATTTATATTACATGAAAGTAAAAATTTGAATAATTTTTTACCATGAATAGATAAACATTTCCCTATATGAATGTCAATAGAACTTTTTCGCCAACCTTACAAAACTTATTGAAATTGTACCCATCTAAGAGGAGATATTATTGAAACTCCCTTAATGCCAAACTTGACTCTTTTGTTAAAAACATAGGTAACGCACAAAACATATTTTGAAATAAGTATATTTTTCTGTTGTTTTATGTTTGTCACACCATAGGACAAAACGTCACACCAAAGGACAAAGATAGTCATTGCATAAAAATAGTTCATCAGTTAAACAGTAACAATAGTTATGTTTCCATCCACACGTTTTTATCCGAATAAAGTGATATCGAATAAAAAATGCATTATGTAAACAGTAAAATTCAATTGAATTTCATGAATATTGACTCAAATGAAATCGATCATTTCGATTTCGAAATCGTTCGGTCTCATCGGTTTTTATGTTGATCGATATCCGACTAATGCGATAAATGCTGGTGGAAACGTTATAATGGCATGATCCATTTTGTCAAGCAAAACTTTGTTCGCAAATGTTTGCTTGAATGTTGAGCGATTCAGAGCGAAAAACAATGGGAACACCTTAAAATGTCTCAAACCAAATCGATATAAAGCCAAATCGCTCTGTGACAAGTATTTACTGAGTTTACAGTTCATTTTTCGGACGCGTTTCAGAGAGATTTTTGCGGAGACAGAGTGAGCTGAAAGCGCACCCTGTTTATTTAATTTATTTTACAAAAACACAAAGTTAATAAGAGTGTACACAAAAAAGAAGACCCTCTTTAGTTTATAATCATGTATTGATTTTATTTATATGATCATTAATGACAGAGTTTTTTAAACCTATGTTGCAGCTATGTAAAAAAAAAAAAAAAACAGCAAAATGCTGCAGCGCGTTAGCCGACCTAACATGAGCATGAAACTGTCTAACAAAAGTTTATTTGATGTCTATTTTATAGTAAAAACTTGATTATCTATCCAAAACTAGTCAATGAAATGTTGTCACTACAGACACTTCTATATCGCGATTAGGACAAATCTCAGTAGGCTATAGCAATATAGTTTGGATGTGTTCATGTAAAAATAACGTTTCTAATGTAGAAATGAGCGTGAATGAGAATGAGATGCGATGTACATCTCTAGTAAACAACATCACGCTTCATTCATTCACACAGACACGCAATTCATATTTAAACAGTCTTTGTGCAGTTTACAGACACTATTCAATATTCGATTAGAATAAAGCACTTAAGAACAAATTACTTTCTACATCAGCTGAATTTGTGCTCCTCGAAATGAACGTGTACCAGCACTTCTGAGGTAACTTTTCCAGGATTATTACAATAGTATTATTACAAGGTAAAGTAGAAGATTCTTAATAAACTTGATGTTTTATCCAACTGATGTGGGTGTTTTCATGGCTTGCCTCAACATTTGCTTTTGAATAGCGCATGCTCTCCATGAGCGTGATCACATTAACACGTCATACGCTATAATTAACTGAAAGGAAAAAGACTGACACCTTTTTTCATAAAGATTACGTAAACTGAGAATATTTGTTTTATATATAAATTACTTAATTTAAAAGAATAGTATTTCAGCTTCATACAGAGAAGTCTCAGTACTCAGTGAGTTACAGTTCATTTTCAGACGTGTTTCAGAATAGACTTCACTGACAGAGAGAAGGCAAAATTCGCATCATGTTCATTTTTCGGTATTTGACAAACGCACAACACTTTGTTTTTATAGTGAGTTTACACAAAAAAATAGACACTTAACTGGATCGAATGATGTATAACACTTATATGTAAGATCAAATCCAGCAGAGTATTTTGAGCCTCTTTTACACTTATAAGAAGTGAGCTGGTTTTGTCGACGATCAGAGGGTTAAAACTGCAGTGCTTTTGAGTTGGTCAAAGACTGAGTTAAAGAAGAAACATCTGTAATGCCACAGTCATTTAGTCTAGAGAGACACAAAAAAAGGAAGAGAGATTATCTTACAATCAAATGAATGTGAAGAATTTTACACAAATGTAATGTGAACTCAGACTCATTGTCATATATTGAGTATCAAGTGTTTTAGTTTAAACAGTTGAAGTGATTTTAAGCATTTCGATTATTGTATGTGAATGTGACTGACCTCAATCTCTCCAGTTTACAGTGTGAATCCTTCAGTACGGCACATAAGTGCTTCACTCCTGTGTTTCCTAAATGATTCCCGCTCAGGTTCATCTCTCTCAGGTGTGACTGGTTTGATTTCAGAGCTGAAGTCAGGATGATACTCTGTTTCTCTGTAATACTGCAATCACTCAGACTGAAGACAGAGAAATAACAATAGTTCACATCTATGATGATCATCTTATTGAAGAGCTACAGCAGTATTTAGTTTCCAATAGTCTGTTTTAAAACCCAGTCACACTAGTTCTGTGTGCTGGAAGACACTGTTTCTTCACTTTCATTTCTAACTATTTATTTGACGTCTCTCTTCTTTATCCTCTGTTAAAAAATTCAGATTTTGTACAGAATCAGTACATTGAATCAGATGGGAATAAAACAATTAGATTAAAAAAAAACATAAAAATGTGAGCAATAGGGAAAACCCAGAGAGTGCACTGTTATAAACAATGAAACATAAGCCCTGCTGTCTTCAAATAAATACACTTGAGTCACACTGTAATTGCTCTAGGCTAATGAGGGTCCAGCAAATAGGGATTTCAAAAAAGTAATACTTTATTTTAGGCTCTAATTAACTAGTTTTATAAACATGCAAATGGCAGGGTTTATAATCATTGGTCCAGAATGTGAGGTAGGCTAGTTAAGGGGGTTTGGGGTTTCCCAGAGAAAATGTTGATTTCTCTGATCTACATATACATATGTATTTTAAGATGTTTTGAAGGCCAAAAAAATAACACCAGCTTTAAAACTTTTTGTTGACTGTCAGTGGACAAAGTACCTAAATTTGAGGTTGTTAGGGGTATCACATTTTTTTATTTCTCTTATAATATGTGCATTTCAAGATGTTTGAAGGCCAAAAAAAAAAAAAAAAAAGGAAAATAGCTTTAAAATCAGCGGGCAGTAGATTATTTGTCAAAACGTGCTCTCTCCCCTTCTCCATCACCCTTTCTTTTTCTCTCAGTCTCCTGATCTTGCACTGTCTCTTCCCCTCCTAAAGCTGAGCTTTTTTTTAATTTACTGAAGGCTACAAATTGTATTATATTATTTCTCAATATGTACACATTCATTATTAGTCTTGTTCCTAGCATGATGAAAACGGCTTTGTTAATGTTTTGTTTTCCACTCACAATGACAGTAAACTATGAGTCATGTTACATTTTCAGTTCAAAATGCCAAAATTAGACAATTAGTTTGCCTGATTATTTTTGTTTTCGTTAAACTAAAAAATGTCAAATATGAAATGTTTAGTTCAGCTACTTGCATCTTAATTCGCACTTGACGTAAACTGAAGCGTCGAGTCGCTCTGTTAAAATTTGCATTCAGCGGCGTCTGTGAACATAAAGCCTGCCTACTTTGATTTGATTGGTCATTTCAAATATTCTGACATTGAAGAGCAATGACAGACCAATGAGGCTCAGATGAAACACACACACACACACAGACACACACACACTGTCCTCTGTTTCTGACATGCTCGACGCCGCTGCGAGCTGAAGATGAAGAACGCGCTGAATTTGATTATAACAAGACTGAAGTAAAAACTAATTTGTGTAGCCTACACTTAATCACACATTTTTAGGGAGGCTAGGAAGAAGATTAGGGGCTGAAGGCCCCCTAAACAGGGTCTAGTGATGCCTATGCTGTACAGTATAATGATACTAACTGTAGTTTCTCCAGCTTGAATTGTGAGTTCATCAGTAGATCACTGAGGTTTTTCACTCCAGAGTCTCCTAGTTTATTCCCGCTCAGGCTCAGCTCTCTCAGGTGTGACGGGTTTGATTTCAGAGCTGAAGTCACATCAGAACAACCTTCATCTGGCATATGACAGCAGCTTAATCTACATAAGCAGAGAGAGAGAATGAAGATAATAAGAGACTCTTTATTCTGTAAAGTCACATCATCTTCATCAGAAAATAAAACAGACAGAGGAATAGAGATCTTCATCTTTATTTCACCAGTGAAAATGTTTGTACAAATATAATGTTAATGTGTTCTAGTTTAAACAGTTGAAGTGATTTTAAGCATTTTGATTCTTGTATGTGAATGTGACTGACCTCAATCTCTCCAGTTTACAGTGTGAATCCTTCAGTACGGCACATAAGTGCTTCACTCCTGTGTTTCCTAGATTATTCCCGGTCAGGTCCAGCTCTCTCAGGTGTGACGGGTTTGTTTTCAGAGCTGAAGTCAGAATGAGACTCTGTTTCTCTGCAATACTGCAATAACTCAGACTGAAGACAGAGAAATAACAATAGTTCACATCTATGATGATCATCTTATTGAAGAGCTACAGCAGCATTTAGTTTCCAATCGTTTATTTTAAAGCCCAGTCACACTAGTTCCCTTTCAGTTGATTACGTCGGACTGAATGGGTATTGCGTCAGAGAGCCAATGTTCTTTTGAGTATTGAACGAGCCAAATAGAATTGGCATGTGGGATTCGCATCACACAAGGGACTGATCAGCAGTTTCAATGGGGGTTCCCCTAGAAGTTAAGATGTCGATAGCAGCATCGGAGGGTGAGCTGGCCTCTGGAGATGATGGAGATGAAAACTCCATCGTGTCCCATTCAGTCTTCCAATCCTTGGAGGATTGGTTTCTCAGGGCAGGCTGTGCTGGTTCTTTTACAAAATGCATGGAGAGCTTATCAGGTGGTGAATGGCACCTTTCTCTTCCAGAAACTGCCTGAATAGCTTTCCCCCCTCATTACCCTTGATGAAGGAATGGTGAAGGGCTGCGAGGTTTCCCTCCATTGGAGTGGTCTGTCATGACACAGGTGCACCTGTGTCTGGCGGCCACTGCCTTTTGGGGGGATTCTTGTCCCTGCTGCTCCTGCTGGGTCTCTGCAGCAGCCTCCAACCAGGCCTCAACATGAAGCTATGCCTAGCCCCAGGATGGAGGCGGATACTCTTGGAGTTGGTCACCGATCCCCTCCCTCCCCTTGGGTGAGGGCCAGGTGGAGTCTTTGTTGGTGTGTGTGTCCTGTTTCACCGCATGCTCCAAAAAGAAGTGGAGTAAGTGATACACAAACTTCAAAGAAAGAGCAAATTCCTCTGTTCCTGGGCCCCAAGTGGGAAAGTCACTGGCAGTGTGTGACCCTGTAAAGCATTGCACCCCTCAACCCCCTCTTTTTCGCCAGCACGGCAGCTGGATGCGGATCAAGGACCCGGTCATCCGCCTTCTCACGCATCCCTGGCTGTCTCGTGGAGATAGGTAAGTGGCATGAATCACACTTAGACCTTGCTTCCTCCGAGTCGGGTCACTGTCCTCTTATAAGATATGAATCATACCTAGGTGTTGAGCAAAGATGCTCCTAAAGTTATTGATATTCATCACGCCTACGTGTTGAGAATTGCTTCTGTCCTGTGTGCAAACGTCCTTCTGGCGATGGATGCGATGTAGCTTTTTCCTCAGTCGATATGATAACCGTTTTCTATAAACCCGTATTTCTTTATACCTTAGAGTGGTGGGCTATGGCCATCTTGGACGTGTGTTAACTGAAATGAGCCTTTTTCGAAAAGCGTTTGTTCATTTCCTTACACAGATGCATTTGTAAAACAAATGCATCAAATGCTCCATTCCCTTGATGGCCTCCAGCGTTCGACCTTGAGGACAATACTTCAGATCTCGATCACTCTACTCCACAGATCATTCTGTGTTCTTGCATTCGAAGGTGCAAAAGTATCCGTACAAGGTCTTACTCTTCGAGTGCTCCATAGCTAGTTGGGTCTTCAGGTCGCCAGGAAGAGAGTAATCTCGCCCTCGGGCTGAGTATCTCTTTTTCAGTTTGGAGAAGCACTTGGTCCAACACGTCTCTTCAAGAAAGAGTGTGTTCGGTTGGTGTTATTTAGAAGTGAGAAAGGGTCCCACTGAAAGAACCTTCAGAGGCTCCTGGGCCATATGGCAGACGCAGCCACTTGGCTTCCTCCATATGAAGACTGCTTCAGCACTAGCTTCATGATCTAGTCCTGAGGTGACCATGGCAGAGCGGCATGCCCTGTGTGACAACAGATCACCCCGGCCTGATGCCAAACCATCAGTCCTTGATCAGACCTTTTGTTTCTTCAGGCCAATCTGCTCCTAGAACGAGGTCTATTAACGTAGCGCGTGCGATCAGTGTTTGTGTTTGTAGCTCCGGAGAATTTCTTCACTAATACTTGATTTTCTTCTTTAGCACTTATTTATAAACAAGCACTTTCTATTTTTATATCATGTGAACTTATCCTTGATACTATTCCTTATAAAAAACAATTGGATTGCTTTGATATCACTACTTATATCCAACCTTCCGAATCCCGGCTACTAGCCTTTAGCCCGCTAGCATTCCACGTGTGGCCTCTCGCCTATTGGCCGTCTCATCTTACACCCGTTTCACTGAATCCTGGTTATTTCCGGCATTTCAGTCCTAAATTAGTAGTGATAGTTGTAGTATCACTACTAATTTACTGTTCATCTGTTATAATGGCGAACATATCAGATGCGTGTCTAACATTACCTCTGAGTGCAGGTGAGGACACATTCGAGCTCTTCACGGTGAAGCAGGAGCTGGAATACGTCGAGAAACAGATCCGTGGTCTGCTGGTGAAGCAAGCCGAGGTGTTGGATCGGCGCTCAACGCTTGAAGCATCACGCGCCGACGCTCACAAATCAGTGGTTAGTAACGTTAACACTTTGACTCCGACTTCGTCTACTCCGTATGTTCCTCTGCCCAGGAGGACGTGATCATCTCGGGCTTCATTCACTCCGGCACAGAAACAACAACATGGACCATGGATCACACAGCGGAAGACAGGACCAGAGCTGCCTCTCCGCCTCTCCCGGTCTTCGAGATCTCCACCCGGAACGCTTCTCCCCTCTTCGCGAGCCGGAACGTGACGACGCCGTGATCATCGGCACATCCATGGTCCGTCATGTCCGCACTACTTTGGGTAAAGGTAAGGTGCGTACTCACTGCTTTCCTGGTGCTCGTGTTCTTGATGTCGCTGCACAGGTTCCTGAGATCCTGAACGGGGACGAGCATGTCGGAGCTGTTGTGCTGCACGCGGGAGCGAACGACATCAGGCTGCGGCAGACGGAGGTTCTGAAGAAGGACTACAGGAGCCTGATCGAGACGGTACGCAGCACAGCGCCTAAAGCAGCGATCATCGTGTCTGGACCGCTTCCCACGTACAGACAAGGACAGGAAAGGTTCAGTAGACTATTTGCATTAAATGAATGGTTAATGTCATTGTGTAATGAACAGAAACTGCTCTTTGTAAATAATTGGCATCTGTTTTGGGAGAGACCCAGGCTGTACCGTGCAGATGGACTCCATCCCAGCCGAATCGGAGCGGCTGTGCTGTCGGACAACATCTCCAAGACGTTATGCACCAGATGACTAGTAAGTCAAAGTCCAAATCACAGCCTTTGCGGTCCAAACTTAACTAATATGCATAGTGTGGAACATTATATAGAAACCGTGTCTATTCCTCGTTTAGTGAAACCAAACAATAAATCTAGTGCAGGATCTAGCAATAATCTTATTGTAATTAAACCAGAAAATCTAAATATCAGTGAACAAAAACAATTTCTAAAGCTAGGTCTTCTAAACATTAGATCGCTCACACCTAAGGCGGTTATTGTAAATGAAATGGTCACAGATAATAACTTTGATGTTCTGTGCCTTACTGAAACCTGGCTTAAACCAAATGAGTATTTTGGTCTAAACGAATCTACTCCGCCAGGATACTGTTATAAACATGAGCCTCGTCTGATCGGTCGTGGCGGCGGTGTTGCAACAATCTATAAAGATATTTTTAATATAACTCAGAAAACAGATCACAGGTTTAATTCATTTGAAGTACTTGTGCTAAATGTTACGCTCTTAGATGTAAGAAGGAAATCCATATTATCTCTAGCCTTGGCTACTGTATATAGACCTCCAGGGCCATATGCTGAATTCCTAAAAGAGTTCGCAGACTTTCTCTCGGATCTATTGGTGAAAGCAATAATTGCTGGAGATTTTAACATACACGTAGATAATAAAAATGATGCTTTAGGGGCTGCGTTTACAGACTTATTGAACTCCTTTGGGGTCAAACAAAATTGGCCAAAAATAGGCCAAAAAATCTGGGTCGTGAAAAATCATCACAATAGGCAACTAGTATAAATAACAAATAAAATATGTCTAAAGCATGTTCATATACAAAAGCAAATACAAAAGTAGTATAGGCCTAGAGACCAAATTAGTAGAGAAAAAGGTGAATCTCCTGTGCGAGTCTCCCTCTGGTGCCCCCCCCTTTCCCACCTGCCAGTGGTCTGTTCCTCAATCAGTGTCAAATTTGACAGACACCTGATCGACATTATCAGACATGGCCTCGAAAAGGCATCAAGAGTCGGGGGCGGAAAAAAGAAAAAAGAAGAAACAGCGGGATGATACTCGCGCATCGCTTGCAGGTAAGACAATGTTTTAAATAAAAGTGTTCATGTATGCATGTCCAGGGCAGGGGGCGTCGCTAGTAGTGCAAATGATCCAGGGCTTTCCCTGCATGTTGAATCTTTTATTTAAACGGGGGTCCGGGGATTTCTCCCCCGGGAAGTTTTGAAACTTGGGCTGTTTAAGATGCAGTTAGTTTGTTTGAGAAGAAAAGGAAGTTTTTTCGTTGTTGTTCTATGTGGATAATGCGGTCATTTTCAAGAGGTTCATAGGCCAAGGCCCAAGGGCGACATATGTTGGTGAAACTGCAATTAGAAAAAAAACCCCACTATCTCAGTGTTTTGTATATTTTCATATTCACAGAGTTGTCAAATTATTAAGGCTGGGAAAAGATTAATCGCATCCAAAATAAAAGTTTGTGTCTATATGATATATGTGTGTGTACTGTGTATAATTATTTTGTATATAAATACACACCCATATGTGCGTATATATTTAAGAAATATTTGCATGTATATACTGTATATATTTATTATATATAATTTATATTATATATAAATGTAAATATGTTATATATAAATAGCAATTATTTCTTAAATACATACATGCAAATGTGTTTATATATATATATATATATATATATATATATATATATATATATATATACACAAAATAATTATACACAGTACACACAAATATATCATTCATGTAGACACAAACTTTTATTTTGGATGCGATTAATGTCTTCCCAGCCCTACAAATTATGTACAGAATTATTATATTGTGCCTCATCAGACCTCCTTTAAAAGTAAAATAG